TGTATTTTCTGAGGTTTTGTTCTTGTCTTAAATGAACGAGAAACATATTTTGTTTTGTAACATTTTTAGTTTCTTGTGATTGTGTATTTGACATATAACCATTGCTAACCTTGCCTTTCATGAACTTTTTATTCGCCCTACATCAATGATATATTGAAATGTAAACGTTTGCTTTGTAAAGATTTGTCTTAAATGGTTTAATATAGGTTGAACTACTTTGGCGACGAGCTGTAGTTGACGATACTGGTCGATTGTTTTGTCTTGTTAATGCAGATCTTTTGGACTTTGACGTCAGTCAGGAAGCATTACGTTTACTTGATTTTTTAACGCAAGGACGATCCAGTAAGTTAATGCACTTTCAACGATACAGCATTGTATGTTATTGGTACTCATTCAATGCCAACATTCAACCTCCCCCCAGTTTGTTTTAAATGAACGTTTTTGTCTCTTTAATTGAAAGCATTGTCATTGACATTTTGATTCAAGTGATTTATTGGAGAATGTCATTGTTTGCTTCTTTTTATATCTCAGAATATCACTTGGTCGTAATATGCAGTATTGAAAATGATAAATCAAATATGGTGAGAACATTAGATCCCTATCGTCGCTCATTTCCTCCACTAACGTCATTGGAAGGCGTCCAAAAATATTTGAAAGAAAAACTTGTTTGTAAAAATCAACTTATCAACAAGGCTTTCATGCCAGCGACTATTGTAGATGAAGAAAAGTATGTATTATATAAGCGTCTTTTTATTCGCTAAACATTAATATTTTTTGCATGCCATGGAATGTAGCTATATTTGAAGTTAGAAGGGAAATCGGTTTTGGATAAGAGGTCTTAAAGATTTAGACTTTCTAGATTTTGTCAAAAAATTTGTCTTTAAAACACGTGAAAAAAATGTAGCTAGAAAACTGTTTTTCTTTTTATAGCTCATGTGTGCGTTTTATCCAGTCATCTAGAGCAGGAATGGGGAAAAGTTTGATTGTAAAACGTCTGACTAAACAATTAGAAGAAAGTCTTTCAAGCACTATAAAGAGAAATTCCCGAAATTTCCAATCATCATTGTGTTGTACTATCCCAGTCCATGGAGTGTGTGTTGAGGGCAATTCGATCACTCGTCACCTTCTTTCACATGCTCCAAAAAGAGATGCTCCTGTTTCAAGAATTTTTCATCTAGACATTTCTCAATCAGTAAGTTGTACACTTACAGCTAAGTGAAAAAAGTTTGTAATGAAAATGAAGATATTTTAATGAGGAACTCTTATTGTCTTAGAAACAAGTGTAACAGTAAAATTTTTTAAGGTATCAAAAGGACTTGATGACTTTCTTTTTAAACTGTTGATCCTTGGATCTGTCAAAGATAACAATGGAAATATTTGGCGAAGAAAAACAACCGATTTGTATATTGTTGAACACACAACTGACAAGACATTTGCGATGTTAACATCTGATAATTTTCCTACGAATCAAAATCCGGTACAAATTTTTCATATTTTATTTGATTTTTACAAAAAAATGAGCATTCTTGTTCATTTAAGAGATTATCCAAGGTAATAGTTGTAGTTTATTGCTAATATACAAATACTTAGTAAGTTCTTTTAATTTTCGTTACAATTAAAATAAACATTTTTGCTAAAAACACTCAGCTTTGCTGTACTCAAGTTATTACCATTTAATATTTAGTTGATAAAAAAATGTTTGTTGTATTGATATTTTGTCGTTATCATTTATTCGATATTTCTAAAGTATCTGAATTTTGTTTTTTAGCATAAGCTAGCATAAAAATATTGAGATTTGCTCAGTATTCAAAAATTACTATCACTTATATCCGTAGAACTCACGAAATCGACCGTCAAGTGGCAAGTATTCGTTCATGAAGTTTTTACCACGTATCCATTGTCTTTCACCAAGGGAAACATTAAGAAATTTGCAATTACGAAGAGATGGTAAGAAATATTTTCACACATACATGACTTCGCCTGAGGAGCCAAAGTTAACATTTTGCACAAAGGGTAAATAGAAAAAATATAAACCAAGACAATGGTCTCTTACAGAAATGTACTCGAAAAAGTTCTCTGGTACAGCTAGTATTGAAATTTTTAAGATTGCAATATTTTTTCATAGTGTGAGAGCTGTTATTAAAAGTCCTTCAACATAGACCTTGCTCTTATCAACGCAACAAATTAAAACTTGGATTTTTTCCCGTATCACGTATTAAACCGAGATTTATTACTTTACTTCCACCTATAAGAGTTAACTTATTAGCTGTCTATAGTAATTTATGCAAATTTCCCAAAATGCACTTAAGTTCTTAAAACTTCGACAGCTTGCGCGACACAATTTATGTTTTGACTCATGGTTACGAGTGATTTTTGTGCACATGGCTTGTGTTAATTTTTACCACAGTTTTCTCACTGGAAAAAACTTGTAAGTATGTTTTCAAAAATTTCAACGCCAACTTTGCCAAATTACATGAAAGTGCTTAGAAACACACAAAAATCACCTTTATGCCTAAAGGACTTGTATCAAGAGTTCACTTTTGTACTCCCTGTATTATATATGATATGGCATTTATCATTTGATAACATTTTTTTTTCACATAAAAAAATGTACTGTTCAATACATACTTATTATCAATTCATGTCATGAATTGAATCGTGTTGATGTTGCCAGTTTTTGACGTTACAATACGTAATCGTTCTTTCAATACTTTTAAAGACGTAAGTATTTTTTCTACTTCACTAAAATGTTTGAAAAATATTTAGGAGATACGAGCTTCGACAAAGAGGAATTCAACAGTGATGAATATCAACGAGCATTCCAATATTTATTGCATGTATCCACTGGTGCTAACTTGGACAATTTTTCATTTATCAATGATCCTCGTGTTGCTGTAAGCGATCCAAATAACGCGTTGACTATTTTAATCCAGTAAGTAAATGTCACTAAGAAATAACATTTGTAAAAAGCGAATCTTGTACGTATTTAATCATATATATTTTATCTGCAATATTAACATAATTTGATTTTCTTAGCTTTGAGGTTTTTAATTCATAATGCAATGTAGTTTTTTTTTATTTCATTTACTTTTTTGAATGGCTACATTTATAGACATATGGATTTTCATTTAATTCAGATACTGTGGAATACGCGATCCATCATGGGCCGAGCTTCATCACTTTGCTAACTTTTTGAATGTTCAACTCCATGATTGTGAGGAAAGTGTCTTTTGTGATACTAACTTGGTTGGAGATTTGTTGCAAGGTTTCAAGACGTTTGCCGTGCGTTTTATGATCCAAATGTCACGGGTAAGATTTACATTTTCACGTAGTTTTTCAATAGTTAGCTTAACTTGTAGCGACCATTGTTTCATTGCTTGTAAAATCTCTTCTGTTCTACGTTGAATCACTCCCGCTTGTCTTGACTTATGAAAAGATTTCTATTTGTGTGTTCACAACGGCACTTTTCTGAACAATTGCACAAATTTCTACTTTTAAAAATTACTTTTTGCAATTTGATCTTAACTTTTTACGCATTTCAAATCCATTTTTTAATTTTATTTTAAATGTTGTCTGTACTGGCTTAGAGATTCTAGAGATGCTTTTGTTTAAAAATATAGCTAGTTTAAAATAGATGTTTCTACCTTGTTCATCAAGTTTTTTTAGCTCGTTTAAATTGTTTTTGTTCTAGGACTTCGCTACCAGATCGCTAAGTGATCGCAATTTGGGTATCGATGATGCTGATGAGGTGGTAAATGACGATCTAGAGCCCTTTCAAATACGTCGACGTTGGGAATTAAGGTACATTTGAAATAACTCAATAGAGTGTTTTCGTGCATGTGACGTCAAAACGGCTATGTTGGAAGGTTACACCAAAGTGACGATGCATGATATCAACCTTTATGAGACTTCACTATGTGGGATTTTCTACCAACATGGCGGCCGTTGCAAACATTCTATGTTTTAATGTAAAACTATTCAAATAAGTTTATGTAATTAGTATAATGTATCTTCTCATTGAACTCCATGTCCTTACAGTGATCTACTTTTATAAATACTAAATATTAAACTAATGGCAACAATGAATGAGAATGATACAAACCTTTTTCTTTAATCACTGTTGAGTAATTATCATTCTCTGTAAAACATAATTCATGTGGTTATTTCTTATTTTTAAATATGTTTAATTTTCTTTCAGTCCGCATCCATATATTTTCTTCAACCATGATCGTCACAGTATGACGTTTCTGGGATTCTTGTTGAATGATAACGGAGACTTGCTGGACCCTGGAAATAGAACTATTTTAGAACAACGTTTGATGCCAACCACTTTAAGAGGTCAACTGAAAGTGCAAGGAGTAGATTTTGATGTAAACTACGAAATAAGTGGACGGTTAGTTTGTTATTATTGACATACAAGACTACAAGTAACAAGATACAATCTTGTTTTCATAGTTTGGAGTAGAGACCTCAATTTTTTTCTTGTAAAAGTTTCAAAAAAGTGAATAACTTTTATTGCCATAGCAACGGCATTTACAGTTAGGTGTATGGTTATTTTCTAGTGATGTGAGGATTAACGACTTATGTCAGGTCATGGGTATTGATTATCCTCATGATCCTGATCCAACGTACGAGCTTACCACTGACAACGTTGAGAAAATTTTGGCCATTCACATGAGATTTAGGTAAATTGAGTAAAATTTGGTACATATTTTTCAAAGTATATTACAGGTCGCTAAATATATATACGAAAAAGTTGAAATTGTCATTTGTCTATTTTATTTTTGTTTTAATGGAAAGAAATGAAAACTTTCCATGCACAAGAATACCATACTGATTTTAGCCATTGTTTATGGACACTATTCAGGCAAAAACTCCATATTAATTTTGAAGATTTTAACTCAGTAGACATACCATTCATTTCTATAAACATGGTAAGAATTAAACATCTCTCATCTCTGTATTTGAATTGGGGAATACGTCAGTAAACGTCCCTGTTGCCTTGATTGAATCACTGCAACCTGGAATTATGTAACGCACGTTCTTCTTTTCTTTTTTCTGTATAGATGTGGCATTCCTGTCATTATCATGGGAGAAACGGGTTGTGGTAAAACAAGATTGATACGATTTATGTGTCAGCTTCAGGCTGGACTTGATGGACCAAAGAACTTACTTCTCATGAAGGTTTGCGAATTTCATTTTGCAGCCGCAAACAATTCGTAATTACGAGTCTTACCTGACTTCCATTGATCTTGTTACTGCATTTTTCATAAAATTTGAGTTACTTGTGATGCTATAATGTATTTGGCAAAACAGGATCATTCATTTTGAAGGAAACGTAACTTTCTAGTGAATGTTTGCATCTGTAAAAATTCTCACCTAGATATCGATCACAGTTGCTCAATTGTGTTTATACAGGTTCATGGCGGAACAAGCTACGACGAAATAGAGAAGAAAGTTGCCGAGGCGGAAATTTTGGCTTTATGTAACCAAAAAATAAATGTTGACACAATTTTGTTCTTTGATGAAGCAAATACAACAGATGCAATTGATCTCATCAAAGAGATAATGGTTGATCGACGAGTGAAGGGACGATATATCGATCCAAAATTGACTAGTCTTCATTTTATTGCCGCGTGTAATCCATACAGGAAGTTAGTTACTAATTTTAAATTTGTGTTGTTTTTAAATAATCTTTGCTATGGATTGTATCAGACATTTATAAAGTTACCACTATTACTTCATTTAAGACACACTGACGAGATGATTAAAAAATTGGAATCAGCTGGTTTGGGTTACCATGTTTCTGCTGACGAGACTGAAGATAAACTAGGTACGGAATTAAATTAGTGTAACGAATAATTGTTCCTTTATTATAATTGATAAAATACCCGTAATCTTTGTTTTGAAACGTGACAACTATATCTAATAATCATCAAATTGATTTTTTCTTCGTTAATTTGCAGATAAAGCTCGTTTTTTATTAAAGAAGTTTTATGTTTGATTTTATAAATAGTTTATGATGTTATATTTATCTTTCGCAGGCTCCATTCCTCTCCGCCAGCTCGTGTATCGTGTCCATCCTTTACCTGAAAGTATGCGACCTCTTGTCTGGGACTTTGGTCAGCTGACAGATCACACTGAAGAACTATATACCAGACAAATAGTGAAGAGATATGTGACCACGCCTTCAATAATACCGGTAAGTTTCAATGTTTTCCACGTAGTTGTTATTAACATAGAAAGATGAACATGATGTTCCAATAAAAATGAAAAAACTATGCAACAAAGTATATGTGATATCATAATACAAATTTATATGCTTTATCAACCGATGAACATGACCAACAAATAAACATTGAAATATTACCTATCGAATACTTATACACAAAATATATATGTCAACATTTTACAATTTAAGACATCTGCTACATCCGATGAAAAAATAAGTGGAAATGATGTCCAAGCTTCATGTATTGCTAAAATTTTGTCATCTTCCCAAAAATACATGCGGAAACAAAAGGTAGAACATTAAAAAGATCTTTTCAAGAGCCATTTAAATGTCGGATCAATTTATGATCCACAAACATTTTCCCCTCTTTTGATTAGAACGAATGTAGCTTTGTCAGCCTTCGTGATGTTGAACGAACAATGACAGTAATAAACTGGTTTTACCACAATTATGATTTAATAATGAAAATTGTTAATGATTCTCACCGAGAGGAATATGATTCCAGTGACAGTGAAGAAGAAGATGAGGAAAGTTTGGTAAGATTAAGTTTAGTTTTATGGTACACAAAAACGTTTATGAATTATAGTCGTGTGATGTTATTTGGCTTGCGTTCGATAAACCCAACAGCTATAATTGTTGGTAATTTCCTTTTTCTGGCAAGTCAAATTTACTTGAAACGATATGTCATTGTACCATGTCCAGAACTCACATCTCAATTTTATAAGCTTATTTTGTATTCAAATTTGCTCACAGTTTATTACTGTTTCTGTATTTGTTGTCAACCGTGATAATATTTACGGTGAACACAATTATCAACACTCAAAATGATTATCCCTTTTTCTTTAGCCTTTAAATCGTATTGTGTTTTCCATCGTCCAAGGTATTGGTGTTTGTTATTATGCACGACTAAATGAAAGACATGCGTATTCCCGGTACATCAGCAAGTATTTTGACAAATCATGCCCACTTCCTGGAGGTGTTAAAAGGATGGTGGATGAAATAGTAAAGTAAGAGTCTTAAGTGTTAATGACCTAGATGTTTAAAAAAATCTCTCTCATAATTTGTACTGTATTTTTGCCACTTCTATACGTACGTGCCTTACTCAAACAAAACCTGATGAAGCGACATTATAACTCATTTTGTAAATGTCAATTTGAAATTATAATTAAAGTTTGTATTTACGTGAAGTTAATAACGACAGTTGACGAACTTAGCTGATATGATTCCATTCTTGGAACTTGGTAAATATATAAATAATGTTTTTTTACAAAAGGTGTCAACGAACGTTTTTGCACGATGTGGAACTTGGCCAGAATATTGCAAGAAATACAGCACTTTGTGAAAATGTTTTTATGATGGCGATATGTGCAGAACTACGAATCCCTTTATTTGTAGTCGGTAAACCAGGCAGCTCAAAGTCTCTAGCAAAAGATGTAATATCAACCAACATGCAAGCTGGAAATTCTAACAGCGAACTGTTTAAGAATTTGAAACAGGTGAGAAAGTTTTTTCAACTTTGCCAAAAGTTTTTTTCTAAAGGAACAAGCTACCTTAAGCTTCCAGCTGACTGTCCTAAATGCAATTCTTGATTTTTTACTGAACGTAGCGACACTTTAGTGCTAGATAGCTTTGTTGCTATAGTTTTGATTGAAATTCGTTAATTTTCTTTCCTGGCTGTTTTGCTCATAGTTATATGGAAAGCGTATAATAATCCATATTTTAAAATATATTTAGATACACATGCAATCGTATCAATGCAGCCCTTTATCTACACCTGATGGCATCGTCTCCATCTTTAAACAATGTTCCCAACTTCAGAAAGACAAAGATTTGAGCAAGTTTGTCTCCGTAGTTGTGTTAGACGAAATTGGTTTAGCTGAAGATTCACCATTGATGCCACTTAAGACACTTCATCCATTACTTGAAGACGGTACAGCCACTTCTGAAGAATCTGGAAAGACACTTGATCATAACCGTGTAGGTTTTATTGGTTTGTCAAACTGGGCGTTGGACCCTGCAAAAATGAATCGTGGAATAATGTTGAGTAGAGGAGCCCCAAGCCAAACTGAACTTCTGGACAGTGCAAGGTTTGTAGCAAACATATCGATTTAATTTCAGTAAACTCTCATTTAAATATATGAAATTGATCATACATGACTGGTCACCTGTGATCTTTTCTAAAATACTTTTTCAGTATGTTTTTTATGAATTCCAATGAAAACTTGTATGACTATTGCTTCAAGAATTGTAAACGCTAATAAAACATTTTGTTGAATTTTGTAGCAATCACCACCTTAACGTATTGCAAATAAGACCTGTGATCAAAACATAAAATGAGTGTTTCTTTAACAAATTTACAAATTACTGTTCCTGGTCATTACAAATTTTTTAGGGGTATATGTTCTTGCAATGATGATGATAATATTGAAGGAATCATGAAAAAGTTGTGCGAAGGATATTTTGATTTGTATGAACAGCAGAAAGTCTCCAAAACTCTAGAAAACGCTCAAAAAGACGAATTCTTTGGTCTGAGAGATTTTTATAGGTATGAATGTGTTTTCGTACTCTATATTTTTATTTTAAAGTACATCAAAACAATTTGTACGAGTACATTCTGTATATGTTGGCTTTAAGCTTAGCGTCTACATTTTATAATGTAGTCTTAAATTGGAACTATCTTCTGTAAAAAACACTGCGTTTGTTCCTTGTTGTTTGAATAGTCTTGTAAAGATGGTAAATGGATCAGCTAGAGTTACTAATGATGGTGCTTGGATTGGTGATACTAAATTAGAGCAGTGCATCAGAAGAAATTTTAGTGGTTTGGATGATGTTAATCCTGTTGAAATATTTAGTCGACATTTCCGAAGGCTTAAACATATAAAGGTAATGTACTACGCATACAATAAAAAAAACTTGTTAAAGTTTTCGGATTTTAATTTAATATGCAATGTTCTTAGACTCCTTCACCGGAATGTCTTCCCGTCAGTCTTATTCAAGACAGTTTGGGTAGAACAGAGAATGAAGGGTATTTCATACTAAATTATTCAAACTATAGTCATGTGCCAAGCCTACCAGTGCACAAATGACTGTTGTGATATCATAATTCTTACATCCATACGTATTAAAATTTCAGAGAAAGCCGTTATTTACTTGTTTTGACTGAGAACTATGCAGCATTGAGATTACTACAAGGCAACAACTTTCATAAGCACGAGCCTGAAGTGATTTTTGGCAGCAGTTTTCCAAAAGATCAACAATACACACAGGTATATATAATTGAAAATTGTGCTTTGTAGAAATAAGTAGTATATTGCTCTTATTCTATTACATTAAACTTATTATTTTTTAAAGCAAAGAATAGTTATTTATATTGAATTTGTAAATACTTAGCACGGAAAGGCTGAAAGCCAAGTTAGAACACATTGTTTAATCACAATAGCTTCCTGACACTTTTAAAATTAATGATTTTGTAGAGTTTCATGCAATCAATTACATAAAATGGTCAAAATTAAACTTTATGTCTCTTTCCTATGCTATAAAAATATGAAGCATTTTTTCATGTCAAAATGCTGTTACATTGCAAACGTTGAAAAAACTCAAAAGTTCAAAACGTGAAACATTTCTCGTTTTTTTCAATTTTCAATTCGTGTGAATATAGCTGCATATCAACCGTAAAGCTAATGCTGTTTTGAATTTTTGTCTTTTCTATTGTTAAAATAAGTTGTAACAGCTTTGATATATTTTTGATAACTTTTTCGATATGTTTGACGTTGTTAAAACACACACAAGACACCTATAATCAATTCAATAAGTTACAGGACGTTTGGGAAAACTAACCATGTGTATGTATAAAGCCTTGTCTGCAAGTGGGCTCAATATGATATCAATTTTAGATTTGTCGAAATATAAATCGTATTAAAGTCTGCATGGAAACAGGAAGAATGGTGATTTTACTTAACTTGGAAAGTCTCTATGAAAGTCTTTATGATGCTTTAAACCAGGTTAGCATAATTTATGCTGTAACTGCATGGCGATTTGGAATACTCTAAATTTCAAACTGTAGAGCAAACACCGTATAGGTGTAAAAGCCAATGACCAGGTGGAGCTCGTTTTAGAGTGGGACTATGGGGTATTTTACACGTGTCAATATGAATTTTTTTATTTATCAGCATTTTTCATTTTGCTAATCAATGCTATATTCGGAGGAATAGTTTCAGCTATAACTAAATAATAAACTTTGTACCTATATCTTTTGTAGTATTACGTGTATCTTGATCAACAAAATACGTCGATCTAGGCCTTGGAAACCACAGAGTCAAGTGCCGTGTTGCTGACAATTTCAAGTAAATTTTTTGTGTGATGCTCATTCTTTGTAAGAAAGATCAATAACGGTTATTGTATCTACTTTATTACATACTATAAGCACTGGAACAATTTTTGTTTCACTTCAATTCATTGCACCACTTCCTATAGATAATCCATTATGGTTTTATATTGTTGGAACAAATTTTTGCCAAGTTCTGTCTCAAATGATATAAACTTCTACTTCATATTCTAGATTGATAGTGATTGCTGAAAAAGATGACGTTTACAAACGCTTTCCAATTCCTCTTATTAATCGTCTTGAGAAACATTTGCTGGTGATGTCAACTGGCTTGACTGAACGTCAAACTGATTTGGTTGAAGAACTTGAGAAGTGGGTTGCAAAATTGTCCAAAGCAAAGAACGAATATTCATCACAAGAAAGGTGTATTAAATTATTTGACAAACCATTCCTATTCAATGGAGTCTGAAAGAGCACTTTTATGGACTTCACATATTAACATTTTGTCTTGCCAGTTGAACTTGTCATACAATTTTCGTCAAATTTTGTGAAATTCCTTGTTTTTACTGAATAAGCACGATAATATTTGCATCCCACAATCAAACTTACGGACTGCCAGTGTTTTTGATCGGGATTTTTTTAATTGATTTAGAAAGACGTCGATTAATGTTTAAGAATTTTTTTCAATATTACCTAGACCATAAGTGTATAGAGTTTGAATAAACATTCTTGACTTCGGATTGGACAGGGTTTTTGACTAGGAATTATATTAGACCCAAAGATATTCTCTATATCATTAAAAATATATATTTGCATGAACGAAAACACTGAACAATGAACATGATCATATAGGGTCTCATCAAGTTTGTGATAAGTTTTATTTTTTAAGTTTTGCAACGTGGAAATTAAAGTTAAGAGATTTGTAATGTTTGTTGCTCCTTAGATTTAGAGAGAATATTCCAGAAATATAAAAAATGCAGTTAAAAAATAAATGAAACAAAAATGTTATGTTCACGATCGTCAACTATAAGTTTAGTCTGGCTATTAAAAGAGAAAAAACAGAATACTAAGAAATTGCAAAAATAATGCTGTGGGTATGCAATAGCTAGTTTGGTTTTCAACCAGCTTCGTTGATAAGCATGTAATTTTTATAAGAGTGCCAGTACTTTTTGTCTACCCCTTGCAACTTGTTTCGGATTGTCTTGTTTTTTTATGTTTTGAATTGCATTGTTTATATTTATGAAAAGAAGCAATAAATGCCATGATGATTTACACAAGAATTTCAAGACAGTATTTCTACATGTCGGAATGAAAATGAAACAATAAAACACGTATAAATTGAACTTACACCTAAATTCGTATTCACAGTTTGAATTATGCGATGCCCTAATTCCCATTTTTCTTAGTGTGCATGCGTGTTAGGAAAGTTGCAATCAACTCAAAGTTGCATCCACATGCACCAAAAAACCTTAGAAATAACTCAGATATTATTTTCAATTTTAGTTTATTTGGACCAGGTGATTGTTTTGTTGGTTATCACAGTGATACAGCAGCTACTGTGGTGATTCAAAAATCTGAGTATGGTTACTCTGATTTTAAGGTATGTTTGTAAAACTTTTACATTCCAGGAATATTTCAAAGTATAGTATTCATGGTGTAACAGAAAAATAGCAAGAATAATAAATTTATGTTTTTGCTATGAATATATATGAATTGTAAGTACGAAAAAGAATTTTTTAATATTTAGTTTAAAACTTCACAAGAGGTCATATATTTCACATGTCACAGTTGTGGTTTACTATATCTTTCTTGTCACTTTTATTTTTATCTGCAATGATTAATTTGCGAATATCAAAGACCATTAAAGCTATAAAAATTTGTTGTTTATTAGATACTTGAAGATTCAAAGAAAACCCTTTTACAATGTGCATCTCCTGATGCAATTGCCAGACTCACAGTATCACAGTTAAAAGACAGAGCCATTGAAATTCGTAGGGAATATTACCAAAATCAACACCACGGAAGTTTGAAGGAATATTTAGTTCATTGTTTTCAAACAAAAGGCAGCACAGCAGACAGTGGCTCTCTCGTTCAGGTTTCAAATATATGACATATATATATTTTATTTCTTCAAAATGCGATTTTTAATGAAGAATAAAAGAACTTCATTTTATCATAGTATAAAACCAAACAGTAGTTTCACTCTATTGAAATTTTTTGTGTAAGGCATATCGTATTACGCATGTCATTAGCATAGTAGCAGCCATTAAATTTTCCGACCAATAGAAGCGCTGAGGTAACTAGCAGCAACCAATAATCTAATTAAATATGCAGCAGCCAGTTTCACAGCGACGTAGCCCTGCTGCTTGTTTCTATGCTGTGATTTTACTGTTGAATTATTTTACAGATAACCACCCACTCGCGACTTTTATCGGAAGCAAATGCTCGTGCTATAGCAGCTGAAGCTGGTTTCCTAGGCTGGCAATCACGATGTGTAAGTCTTCAAGAATTTCATACGGAGCAACAATTTGTCAAAACTTTGGAGTAAGTCTATTATTTTGTTTTTTTTTACTAAAGTTTTTACCTCATTGTAAACTCATAAATTTATATTGATTAGCGATTTCTTCATCAAACTTGGAGGTGCTGAAGGACTCCTATTGGTGCAGTGTGATGACGGGGAGAAAAATTCAAATCTTATTGCATGCAGTCGTTATCTTGTTGATCAAACACGTCGTACATCTTTGGAAACGTTTGACCCGAAACCCGTTCATATTATCTTTATCATCCAGTTGCCAAGAATTGCAGGTGGCTGTCAGCATTTTGTGGGATTTCAAGGTGGAAAATGGCGATGTGTCCATATTGACGAACTTCTTGAGGCGAATGAAAAGTTACCGCAAATTGAACTACTTGTTAATCGATCTGTTAGTGATCTTTTTAATTTAAATGTTTCCTCAAATAAAATCTTGATCTCGGAGACATACGACTATCACTAAATGATGACCTTGAATCACCGACAGACAGTGATGTGCAGGTAAGACTAACCTGACAAGGTTCAATAAAAATGTTGTTTTATACTCTCATGCATTTATAGATCTTGGAACAAAGTGTGCAAACTCGGTAGCTAGTGAGGAAATTCAGGCTGCGAGCAGGCTAATTGGTAGCCTTCAACAAAAAATAGACAATCTTTACGTATATATTATACTAATGGCCAATTTTTACGACATTTTATTACATTTAATTCATCGAAAGTGATCTATTTAAAGATTGGTTGATCTATTTAAAGCTCAATATAGATGAAAATGAGGCATTTTTCAAAAAATAAAAGATACCGTGATTTTTTTACGAAATAAACAAATTTATCAACCGTCCTCAGCAGTTTTCTATCGCTTTGATTAAAATTTTTCTTTATCATTATTTGATTATATAGAATATTGAGGAGAATTTATACGAAGAAAATATACGTCCCACAGTCTTGCTGAGGAACTGCATGCAAACTGCTGCTGCAAGAGTCTTTGACGAATCTAATGACGTCTTGAGAGCCACAAAACGAATTGAGATATTACTGGATTGCTTACCTGCCGAAGATGGAGATGAAACAGGTTTCCAACAATTTTGCATTTTTCTTTTCGTGGCTGAAATTTACTGCGGGACATACGCATATACGAGTACATTTTTGTTTGTTTTAGACCTATCTACCATTCTTGTTGTTCGTATGTATAAACTGCTCCGCGAGCGTGATGAAAGATGCTTTGATGATCAAAGACTTTGGCTTCAAGAGGAAGCGTTATGTCAGGGACATCTACAGGAAACTGGCACATTTAGGAAAGCTTTATGGCAAAAAATTATCGTCAATTGTGTCTCCTATTTTGTCCGAAGTTATTGCGTATTGTGATCGTAATAAAAACCTCAACTTGCTTCTTGAAGAAAACACTTGGACACGAAAGTTATGGCTTGAAATGTTAAAGGAAGACAACCTTACGGCAATAACCTATGAATCATTCATTTCACCTGTATCCGGTAGGCTACGAGAACGAGCTACTGTGTTGAGCAGTGGAGTTGGACATCCTTTTGAAGGAAAATTTCCATTCTCCTGGATAATTAAAGACATTGTTCACGTTCTTTTGTTGCAAGTGGGGGGTATGTAGAAATTTTATAGTGTTTTCCTCTATGTTCTACGGCAGTTTGGTTTGCTTCGATTAAGCGAGCGCCGGGCTATTTAGTTCTAGGTTGCTCGTTCAGTGACCGCTGTAGTTTTTGAAAATTTAACAAAAATATAAAATTTTAATTGGAAAAAACTTTGCGTAACTAGGGTTTGCGCAATAAATTTACATAAATTCCTCACGAACACGTTATCACGTATGAGAAATTTACATAAACATGAGAATTTTAAATTAATTTAAAATCTTTTAAAGTAAAATCATTCTAACATTTGAGAAGACTGGAATGTATATAAAAGTAAAAGTAAAAGGAAACTAAAATAGGCATGATGTTGCACGAACAAACGGTGCTCATACGTGGTCATGTGTGATTATGGGTCTGAAATGCCCGTTTTTCCTGGCAAACAGCTACTGCAAAGCGGAGTAATCACAAAGAGTTTCAAAATTGCTTTGCAATAGATGTGATTAATCATCAACCACATGAAATGTAAGCTTTTTTAAATATAGTTATACTTTCCATTGTATACCTAATATACCTACCACTTAATCTTTACTTTTGCATCTTGCTCAAATTTTCAGAAAGTGGTTGTCACATCTAAGATGGAATGTTAACTCATATTGATTTAGTTCATAAAAAGATCTTCCAGGTTGTTGTCATATTTAAAAAAATATTTATTATTTTAATCTTTTTTTTCCGTAGAGAGAACCGAACCATCAGATGATTATAAGTAAATTTTTAAATATAAAAATTGGAAGATGTTTATATAAATTAAATTAATATGGACAACCAACCCAGATTCAAACCATTTGAAGAATGTAAACTTTCACTGCTTCCCACTCAGTAAACACAACGAGCCTTGCGATTTCTGTGAGCTCAAAATAGAGAAAATAAATTACTCATCACCCATTGTTTGAGTTAAAAGGAATGTTTATATTATACTTTAAGCATTTTCAATTCAATTGTTCACCTTTTTTTCAATATTTAAAAACTGTTTTTATTAATTTATAATAATTTGATGTACTCTGTTTGCATGGTTAATCTTTGAGAATATATTAACGATCAAATTTTAAAATTGGTTAGAACAATTGTTCTTTCTTTCAACAAATACATTTGTTGCATTTCAGGAGTTATTACAAACAGATTGACGTCATTAAGAAATGTTTTTGGTACTTCTCCTTTGGGAAGATTGAAGAAATTGGCATTTGAAGATCCGGATATCAAGGAGGAAGCAGCGAATTGTTATTTAAATGACTTTTTACATATGATGTATAAGCCAATTGTTAAAAATGAGCTAAAGGTTTGTTAACTTTAAATATTCAATGTGCTGGCCAATGCGTTCAAAGCACACTTTTAAGAGCAACGTACGTTTTGGTCACCGATAGTTGTAAAGCAACATTTATAGAAATGGACGTATACACGTTTAAACAAATGTTATATTTCTATTTTACCAGTTGATACACGAGGCTGTACTTGCGACGTCTTGGCAAATACACCAAACTTTTCATGAAAACGATGAATTTCACCTGGACATTCCTCTCATTCATTTTGCCTATTCCATGATTCAATCACGTATGCTGAATTTCTCTGAACTTGTTCATGCATTTCCTCAAGTGGTAGAAAAACTTATGGAATCTCCATTGCCAATTAATGATTCAGAATTGGTAAGTCACAAAGTTAGTTATTTGTGGAAAATTATTCCATTTGTGGAATATTGTTGTTGTAGAAATATAGACGTGATATGTAATTTTATACTCTACCCACCAATTTTTGTTTTGTCAAAGCATGTACAGCAAATTTTAATACTTTATCTCCACTTCATTACAAGTATTAATACAGTACCATTTGCCTTAAAAACTTTGTACAATTGTATACTTTCTCCCACCATTTTAGTGCCTAGATGCAGTGGCTCTTCAGTGCTGTCTAGAAGAACTGGAGCCTAATTTAAATGATTTTACGCGTCTTCATAAACGAAAGACGTGGTGTAATCAAGTTCAATGTCTACGTCCAATCATTCAGGTTATGAAAGCGTCAATAACGGACAGTAAGAACTCAAAAAATGTTGTTCCTCTTTTGTCAGAAAAATCTGAGCAGATTTTGAAACTTTGTTGGTAAGTGTGAATTGATCTTTGGATAGAATATGCAAAGAATTGTGTTTATGATATAATGGCTATGAGAAAAGGAGACTGAGTACGAACGTTTTATTATGTTTTATTAAAGAATTTTTATACACACATAAAAATCTTTCATTAATTTTGTTTTTCTGAAAAATTTGGTGTAATACAAAGAAAAATGTTCAAAATATCCTTCATTAGGTCGCTATGAACTCTATGTTTTAGACATTAATTTTAACATCTACTTAAAGTTACATTCTGTTCTTATGCGTTTTACACATAGGATCATGTTCACACGTTTGGATGTTGTACGTATGTTTATTGAACACACTTGTCCACCTGAGGATTTGAATCATACTGATGATGGTCGTAATGCTTTGAAATTGTTAAAGGTAAAGTTTTCACGTATTAGCTTACATCCATAGTTCATTTCCGTTGAATGGAAACGCCTTTTAAAAAAGGCTTTTTCATATTAAATCATTTTGAATTTTTTTTGCTGTGCATTACGGTCGAGTAAGACACAGCTGTACTGATACACGTGGACTGTCAATAAACTTGTGTCCAGTTGTATTTTATGCATCATGTTAAGTTCAATAACCAAGTTGTAAAGGTTACGAATTTGAAAAAGCAAAGCCACTGATTTTCAACAGCAGACTTCCTTTAGCGCCTATTTCCTTTTCTAGGCATTAGGTGAAAGTCCCGACTTAACCTCACTACGTACTATAGTTGTTATTGAAAGATTTTTGAAAGACTGCAGTAAAGATTTGCATAAACGAATTGTCAAGTAAGTATACCGATAAAGAGTCACGGTTATTAACATTTGTGGTAATGATCATAATTTTCATAAAATGCGTGTTGATCTCCTACATTGAGGTATTAATTTTGAAAAACAAACCCAATAATATACTTTTACTGTTTCAAGTCTTTATGTTAAAATACACTGCATTCAATAATAAATTTTGTATCATAGCAACACATTTTTTTACAATTTATCTGCGCATTAAAGATTTCCTTAACATGGAACCTTAATTGTATGTTCATTTCTGTTATACTTAATGAATTATTATAATGTTAGATTTGATGACGAATGCGCCATTTGCAAGAGATCACTTCAAGATCCTGTACAGCTACCATGTCGTCACGTGTTTTGTTTATCTTGCATAACCAATTGGCTTAACGATCATGACGTATGTCCTGCATGTAGACACGATGTTGGCAATGATTTTCAATTGCAAATTAATGAAACAATAAGGTAACTATTTTGTATTCAAAGCTTTACAATCAAAGTAGACATGTGTGTATTTAATGTATGGTATAAACGTTTGGTCATAAATTAGGGCGTCTTGTCCAGAAAAACAACGTTCATTCTCCACTTGAATGAGTCGTTTTTGCTTTTATATATATGCTTATAAAATGAAAATATTGCTTTTTAATTTATAGTTTTCTTTAAAAGAACTTTTAGATTGATAGTAGACTTTCTCAAACAGCTAGATTTGATAAATATGTAATTTAAAAAGTAAAATTTTCCATTTATAAGTACTTTATTTATTTAGGCTTTCGTTGGAGTTGTGGAGAAGTTTTCGTAATCGCTGCAAATCCTTTTTCATGAGTGTTGTCTCTGTTTATTGCTTTGGTGATGATTTACCACAAGATGAACTTGTAAAAAAATTCATTGCTTATGTAATAAACGATGAAAAATTCACAGAAGATTTTTCTCCTTTCGATGGTCACAGCATTGATGTTACTCCAGTTATAAGATCATACATTTTACAACAACTTCTTGCAATCAAAGGAAGGTATGTTAATGCTGAGAAA